TTTTAAGCTTAAAACTTACTTCTATGTCAGCACTGGTAAAACAGCTGACACAATCCGCTGTGCTGCGTGAATTAGAGCTGAGCTAAAAATCAGGGAAATATAGGACAGGCAAGAGTGGGTGGGCTGGGCCAACTGCTCACTGGCACTACCAGTTCCAGCCGAGGTGGTGCAGTGGTTAGGGTGCAGTACTGCAGGCCACTTCAGCTGACTGTTATCTGCAGTTCAGCAGTTCAGCGGTTCTAATCTCACCGGCTCAAGGTTGACTCAGCCTTCCATCCTTCCGAGGTGGGTAAAATGAGGACCCGGATTGTTGTTGGGGGCGATATGCTGACTCTGTAAACCGCTTAGAGAGGGCTGAAAGCCAAGGTGGCGCAGTGGTTAGGGTGCAGTACTGCAGGCCACTTCAGCTGACTGTTATCTGCAGTTCAGCAGTTCAGCGGTTCTAATCTCACCGGCTCAAGGTTGACTCAGCCTTCCATCCTTCCGAGGTGGGTAAAATGAGGACCCGGATTGTTGTTGGGGGCGATATGCTGACTCTGTAAACCGCATAGAATGGGCTGAAAGCCCTATGAAGCGGTATATAAGTCTAACTGCTATTTGTCACTATTTTGCTTTTTTACAACTGTTTTTCCTTTATTGTTTTTCTCTCTCTAAACTCTTTTCAATGCATGTAAACCGCCAGCTAAGGTAAAAGTTCCCTTCGCACCATATGTGCTAGTCGTTCCTGACTCTAGGGGGCGGTGCTCATCTCCGTTTATAAGCCGAAGAGCCAGCGCTGTCCGAAGACGTCTCTGTGGTCATGTGGCCGACATGACTCAACATCGAAGGCACACGGAACGCTGTTCCCTTCCCACCAAAGGGGGTTCCTATTTTTCTACTTGCATTTTTTTTACGTGCTTTCGAACTGCTAGGTTGGCAGAAGCTGGGACAAGTCAGGGGAGCTCACTCTGTTATGCGGCACTAGGGATTCGAACTGCTGACCTGTCTGATCGACAAGCTCAGCATCTTAGCCACTGCGTTCCCAAAACCACCAGCTAGTTTGGGCTACAATACAGGTGGGCAATTTTTTATTTACATAATTTGTTATGGAAAACCCAACTACCCTCTCCAGTACACATATTCAGGAAAGAATGCCACGCTTTTAAGCTCTTCTCTGTCCCGTATAACATTCAGTGTGAATATTATAAATTTGTACAAAATTAGGATATCCCCATCCAGAAAAACAAGAGGTTCTAATAGCAAAATTAGTCTGGCCTCTGTTTTCAGCTGTGCACAGACAAGGTAAAGGATAAGCTATGGCTAAACCGACACCTTTCAGCAGCGACAATGAGAATTAAAACAGACTGTGGTAAATTTTCTTCCCCCAAAACACAG